GAGCAGTGCACAAATTTCAGATTTCAGAGTTGGTTCAATTCAGAGTTGAAAAACCGATTCAGCTTCAGACGTTTTGTGCGTCAACTGATGATATTTGTGACATTTTAGCATGAAAATAAGTTGGAAAATGTCTAGAAATTTACCACGAAAATCGGCTACCCGTGTCTCCTATGTATCGGCATTGGTATCGCAATAGAAAAACCAATATCGGTCGACCTCCATGTGCACATTAGCTGCAACACTGACTTAGTCTGTCACTTCCTACATGGCCAGTAGGTGGCAGTGTGTGGCGTGACAAAGTAACTTTTGTATTTTTATGGATCCGGATTAAAAATTTAGAACAGCTTGTGTGTTTGTGACAAACTGAAGATAACAAGAATCTGCAGATCTAATTTAGGTCAGGTTGCTAAATTGTTGGCTCATCCCTTGAGTTAGGTGCATTTTTGCAACTGAATAATTGAAAATAGAATGATTTCTGGACTCTAAAGTCTAAAGACGGCATGAAAAACCTTCAGTAATACTTTTTTCAATGTTTGAAACGCTTTGTTGTAGCTGACACATTTGTTTTTTGTGCTCATTCATCCTTCCAGGATGAACGAGGAGCAGATTGCCACCGTGTGTCTGTCGGTGCTCAGAGCTCTGTCCTACCTGCACACTCAGGGCGTCATCCACCGGGACATAAAAAGCGACTCCATCCTCCTGACCAGCGATGGACGGGTACGTCCACATGATCTCCCTGGGAGTTTGCCCCTAATGCTGCCACACAACTACTATAAAACACATAATGTACTCCAGATATCGATCTCCTACCCACTCACTCTCTTTGATCTTCTCTGTAACCCTCGTTTTTCACTCGTCAGCAGCCGGAGCCAGCAACTCATTCATTCATCAATTACTACTGTTGCCCCAGTAATTAAATCCTGCATAATGCCTTCTAACCAGATGATAAGACGTGATTAATTGACGTGTAATTAACTGCCAACAGGGGGATTAGTGTCTTCTGTGGAAGCTTTTCACCGTGGAGGGTCAGTTCTTGTCTGTATACCTAAAAGCAGATCTGTGTGTGTGTGTGTGTGTGTGTGTGTGTGTGTGTGTGTGTGTGTGTGTGTGTGTGTGTGTGTGTGTGTGTGTGTGTGTTTGCAGATCAAGTTATCAGACTTTGGTTTTTGTGCTCAAGTCTCCAAAGAGGTGCCTAAGAGGAAGTCTCTGGTGGGCACACCCTACTGGATGGCACCCGAGGTCATCTCAAGAATACCTTATGGGACAGAGGTGAGAACTTGCACCCGATGCATCTGTGGAAAGCAAAAGGTGACAAAAAAGTGTTTTGAATGCACGTAATGGCTGCCAAAACTCGCATTTTAAACATGCGTATTGACACTAAAAGCGAGAAAAAAGCGCCCGTAAAAAACACGTGTCATGGCCGCCCAAACATGTATGGAAAGCCAATGGTAAGACATAAAAAAGTAAAGGCTGCTTCAGCTGGCTAGATAAACAAAGAAAGTAAAAAAAGAGTGGTCCTGTCTTTTACCCCAAAATTCCACGATCTCCGCTCCGCTGCGCTCTGCTCCGGCACGAACTCCGCAGCAAAAACGGTCCCGTTGTAGTCGATCAGAGTTGTTCCACTACTGCGGCCGTGCGGCGCAGTGTGCCGCCCGCCGTTCCGCCATCCGGCAAAAATAGGATCGATTCTATTTTTGCCGAACGCCGGAGCACCTCCTCAGTCAATGGACAGAAATCACAACCGCCCAACAGGAAAGGGAGCAAGCACAACTTCCGTTATTTCACAATAAATCGATAAACAAAAAGTGTTTTTTTGTTTCATATGCACAGGTTTAACAACTTTTAACAACTATCGATGGCGTGCGTGCGTGTGTGTGTGTGTGTGTGTGTGTGTGTGCACAAAAATAAGCCTTAAATACAGTTTCCACTATCAAAGTACTCACCCTTTGTTGAACCAAACACTGCTGGTCTCTCAACACAAATGATGGGCAGATTAAACAGTTCATTTCTATGGCTCTCCCACACAACGGGTGTTTGGATCTAATTTCCGCATTTATTGCTCGGACTTCATCGCAAGATCTCAAAAATCCCGCGCATGCCTGTTTGAGAAACTCAGGTCTCCGCACCGGGGCGGAGCCGAGGTAAGAGCGGGTATGGTATAATTTGAATTCGGAAGCGAGCGGCAGCGGAAAGCGGGGGCGGAGCGGAGATAGTGGAATTTTGGGGTTAGTTATGCTAAATATTGTGTCACCATCAGCTTTCCATAAAAGTTTCAGCATGCATTTTTTTACGGGCACTTTTTAAAAAAATCTCATTTGGTGTCAATACTGTGTTCAAGACGCGCAATGTGAACATTTGCTTTTTTGTCACCTTTGGCTTTCTATACACACGTACGCAAGCACACACACACACACACATAGAGAGGGGCTTGTTTACTCTGATTAAATGAACACGTTTGTTTTTTCTTCCAGGTGGACATCTGGTCCTTAGGCATCATGGTGATTGAGATGGTTGATGGAGAACCCCCCTACTTTAACGAGCCCCCTCTGCAGGCCATGAGGAGGATACGGGACAACCTACCCCCACGGCTAAAGGAATCGCACAAGGTAGGAAAACAAAAAAATGAATAACATTTTTTTAACATTTCATCAACATCCTAACTGTGGTGGTTAATCTGAGAAGGACCCCAGACGTCCAGCAGAGCTCCTTCAGGCTTGAGTAATTTGTTGGGGGTAAAGACATCAATGTTGCAGAGCGAACGGCAGCAATGGAAGACTCGCGTTGCTGTTAGCCAATCAGAGGAAAACCAGGAAATAATAAAGAGTAAAGTTCCACGTCCTGCTGTTTTCTGCTGCGCTGGCTGAGCTCCACTTCCATAGAAACGACTCACCAGACATTCATTCATACTAGAAATGACAGCAGATTCACTGAAACAACGAGTTTAGGCCCTCTTTAAAACAAGATGCTGCGAATGATCAGCTGTTGACGCAACATCAGAGCACGCACGCACCTGAAGCTTTTTTTATCTGTCGTGCAGTGTTGGGCAAGTTCCTTCAAAACTGTAATGCATTATTTATTACTTGTTACCCTCATTTTAAAGTAATTCCTTACATTACAATATTACTGATTTAAAAATGTAAGGCATTACACTACTTTTGCATTACTTTAAGTTACTTTCACCGAAACAACTTCAATATGAATCTGGTCATGTGACGCTCAGTGAGCTCGTGACATATATGTGGAAAGTGATGTGGTGTCTGAGCTAGGATTGCTGTTAAAAACAGTCAGATATAATAACAGTGCTTTAAAATGATTGTTTATTAAATAAAAGCAACAACAAGCTGTACTCTCAGCACGCCGCCATCTTATATTAACTGAGCAGGGAGTGAGGTGGTGGGGGCTCCAAGCCTATTAGCCTTGGTCCCCAAATGCCTTGATACGGCCCTGGATGTGGGACTGACTTCTGGGGTGATCTGATTCTATCACATGTATAAATATTAAATGCTTATATATTATTGCCTTTCAGTGGTAAAAATGTGTATTGGGGATAAATCTACCTACTTTTTCTTTTTTTTCTTGATTTTATTTGAATAATTTTCTGCCCTTTCTCTCTCTAACCTTCCTGCCTGCTGCATGTTTTCTCCGTCTTCCAGAAAAACTGTTTCCTAGACTTCCTTCTTTCTAACGATCAGCCAAAGGGATCTTCACATGCGCGGCGCTCCAGCAGTAATGAGTTGAACTCAGCTGAGGCAAAGCACGCCAGAAAAGCACAAAATACCAGAGAATATGCGCTGATATGAACGATCGCAAGTGAATTATTTTGTTTTGGTGGAGCGATTTTGTGAATGTTACAGCGGCCGCGTGCAGGACGCAGCTGGAGTAGTTGAGCCGTTACCGCGGCGTCCTCTCTGCCCGCAAAGCTGAGTCCATAAATGACGTAATATATGCAGATACTGGATCTTTCTTCGGGTTTCCCGCGATTTGAATTTTTAAGGAACACATCTTGATTCTGGGTTTAAAATGCATTGTAATTACCGCGTTACTGTCAATTGTACCGAGTAAATATTACCATTTTCTTTCCCTGTAAAGCCTTACATTACCACATTACAGCAAAAAGCAATGCATTACAGTAATTAATTACTTTTGTACTGCGTTACTCCCAACACTGCTGTCCTGCAATTTGTTGTTTTATTAAAATAAAAGTCCTATAATCTACAGAATGTTTATTCATATATTGTTTAAGTTTGATGTAAAGCTTTGTATTTGTCCTCCAGGTGTCCACGGTGCTGCGCTCCTTCCTCGACACGATGCTGGTGAGAGAGCCGTCACAGAGAGCCACTGCCCGGGAGCTCCTCCAGCACCCGTTCCTCAAGATGTCCGGACCGCCGTCGTGCATCGTCCCCCTCATGAGACACTACCGCCACCGCTGACCCGCTGGCCCCATCCTGCCCCTTAGGACACTCACATAAACACCCAATAGGGTGGCACTGCCCTCACCCTGCCTAAAACAACCCCACCGCCAGGCGGCACGCCACTAACACACACCTGTAACTGTGAAGTAGATTAGCTAGTGGAGTATGTTACAATACACACAGAGAAAAGAAGATAATGAGTTAGAGAGTGCGCCGTGCCGGAGGAACTCGGTAGGAACTCGGCATTCTTCTTTCTTCCTAGACTGCGAGTCTCCCGCGACTCGTAGTAGCCATCAGCCTTCCAGAGCTTCAGAACCGAGTCGCTGGCGAGGCGGACGGACCTCGATGACCCCTCTGCTCCAGAGCAGAGCAGAGGGCCGAGCAATCGGCGCAAGGACAGAGACAAACTCTCTCGCCTCGCACACTAAGAATAAAAACAACAACAAAAAAGTATTTTAGAGAAACTTGTAAGATTTCCTGTACAGTTTTGATAACTTGCAGTATTTTATTGTGTCGTAACCATTGTGATATGAGCAGTATTAAATAGAGTTTCTGGAGAGATCTTTCCTACTGTTTATAATCCAGTTT